GCAGTCTCTTTATGCCTGGGTTATTCTCCCACACAGTATGTGACCTGAGAAGTCAGGAATGGCTATTGTGCTCTAATGTCATAGCAAGTGGCATGCCACCTAGCTCTGGGGGTGGCAGTCAGTGCCAGGGGCCCAGTCATTGTCTTCCCTAGAGGTCATAAGAACTCTCATAGAAACAAGTTGACCCCACAGGTATGCCAGCCCAGACATCCTGGTGAGGCCCCAGCATGCCCCAGTTCTCAACCGCAAGCAGCTCAGGAAATAACGAAAGGACCCAGGCACCATTTGGTTTTGTAAGTCCATACAGTAAGGCTCAGACTCTTGGAAAGCCAGCCTCAGTCCTTTGTTGCTATTGATTCAGTCCTTTGTTGCTATTCGCTTTAATGTTTACTTCATTTTCTGTTTCATGCAGGCAGAATTCCTGGTAAATAAGCCCTTCAGCAACCGCAGTCTTGTGCTCTGCTGGAGATGTATATTCTTGGAGAATGAAATACTGTGCCATACATATTTCAGTCTGGACTGTGAAATGCCTTCTATACATCTGATGTGTAAGAGAGATGGTTCTGATTGCTGACATCTCAGTGGTGATCCTGAAGAGAAAGGCTTGACAGAGAATTTTAAAGGTGCTCTATGGAGTGTAATTAACCAAATCCACTCCCCCTCTATATCTGAAAAAATTTTGGCATTGTCACCAGTGAGGAAGATAGCTTCTTTTGCATAAAGGAACTTTTAGTTGTTTCCCTGGGGTTATTATCTCCAAGCCTGGCTGTGTGGTGAACTCGGTTTCCCCAGTTGCACTCCAATCCATTCTTGAGACCAGTCCAAGACAGTACTTGACTTGTAGGACAGAAACAGTGTTTTACCATAAAATGTGCTCCTGTTATAAGTTTGCTGTAGCTATCCCCTAGCAGATTAAGGTAATTCCCTTCTATTCCAAGTTTACAAAAAATTTTTATTTTTAAAATACAGAATGGATATCAAATTTGATTAGAATTTTGTTTCTGCATCTACTGAGGAATGGCTCTTGGGAACAATATTTCCTGAGCTCTTGCATGTTGATTTCAATTTGCACCCAGGGCATCAAGGTCAGTTTTTCTAGATATAACATATTTGGCTCATAAAAATCTTTCCTTGGACATTTTAACTATATTATTCCATCTTCTTTTGTATGAAAGCATTACTCTTAAAAATCTGACAATAATCTAATTTTCTTTTCCTCATATTCTTTTGCACAACCCCCCCCCCCATTTTCTTTCTTCAAACTACAGCAATTTTATGTAAAAATGTATTAAACCTTGGTATTGGTCATACTCATTTGATGGTTTCAAGTATGTACTATGATATTTCAACATATACTTTTATAACCAATTATTTCAGGAATATTTTCTTTAATTATTATTCTAAATATTTCTTGAATTAGTGAATTTGTTCTGAACCCTTGCTTTGGTTTTTCTTCTTTAAACTTTCTATTATCTATCTACTAGTCTTCTTTCCCTATCATTGATTCTTGTTATGCTCTTAAATCCTGTTTTCTTTCTCCATTTTGTTTTGAAATTATTCCTCTTAAGCTTTCTATTTATTGTAAAGCATCAGTTATCAAATTTTTTGTTTTTTCTAGTTTATGGATTTTATTTCTAATTTTTGTTTCTAATTCTTTCTTGATTTTCACACTGCTTTAAAATTTTCTAGTTCTGATTTTTGTTGTTCCATCCTGCTTTATGCAATTTTCCTATTGTCTTTAAGCTCATTTTGAAATAGTAGGATATCGTTTTCTGTGACTTTCTGAACTGCTTGCCATTGAGAACTGTGTTTTGAGTATATCTTTCTGGTATACCTTCATTGTTTGTAAGGGATGCTATTCAGCTCCTCAGTCTTTGTTTTCTTATGGTAACTTGTATGGGATTTGATCATAATATTTTCTAGTGCTTGTTTCCATGTGAATTTGGTTTTCCTGAAGTAAACTTGGCTTGGACAGACAGCTCTCACAAGTTCACTAAGCTTGCTTTCTGAGGTTTTCTGGCTGTATTCTCAATCACTTTTATAGGACCTTCTCTTTTCTTCAGCCCATTCTCTCCATTCTGCTCAATTTTAATTCTAAGGTTTCTCCTCAGTGTGACTCTGTTCTGGGAAGGAGCCATGGCTGGTCACCTTTAAAGCAGATAAGAGCTACACTGCTCTAACCCCTTCAGGCCCTACCATGTGCTCCTTGCACTTTTCCACTTTGAAAGTGAGCAATGCCCATCCAGTTTCAGACACCATCCTCAGCTTAGCCCCACCACACCTCCCAGTAAATATCTGTTGGATCTTTTGGCTGTGTTCAAGTCTATCAGTTGGTAAATAAAACTGGTCCTTCACCAGAGTTTGAGAAGCATTGCTGAAGGAATCAGCAGAGGGAGAGATGAGTGTTAGAAGGCTTCATGGAAGAGATAGTTCTTAGGCCAGGCCCTGGAGGGCAATCACGGTCGAAGTGAATGTTGAAGTTCCCCAGCACTCTGCCCTTGGCCTCCACCTCACTTTCTTTGTGGAGCTCATCCATTCCCATGCCCTCAAACATCACTTTCAAGGCAAGCATTTCTCCATATCTGAGTTTTCAGCTCAGGAATCTTTTTTAACATGAAACTTGTAGAGACACTTGCATAGGTATAACAAATTCAGCATGAATCAAACAAGTGCATGACTTTCTCCCCACATTTTGTCAATGAATCTTACAAGTTTTGTTGCATTTTTATTTTCGTTCAGTTCCAAATATTTTGTAACTTCTAATTTTTTCTCTGACTCATATATTATTTAGAAATATGCTGTTTAATTTCCATATATTTTGGAATTTAAAAAATATCTTTACATTATTGATTTCTAGTTAATTCTATATGCATACTTTATATAGTTACATTCTTCTGAAATATAGTGAGACTATGACCCAAAATATAGTGTTTTTTGGTGAATGTTCTATGTCCACTTGAAAAGAATGTGTATTCTGCTGTAGTTTAGGGTTCTATAATATCTGTTAGGTAAAGCAGGTTGGAAGGGTTATTCAAATCTTTTATATATTATTTTCTGTTTACTTGTTCTATCAATTACTTAGAGACAAATGCTGAAATCTCAAACTCTAATTATGGATTTGCCTATTTTTCCAGTTTCACCTTATCTATCAATTTTTGTTTCATGTATTTGAAGCTCTGTATTTGAAATGCTATCCATAGCATAAATTCACAAATATAAATGAGTCTGTAATGCTCAACTCTATTTTGTTCCATTTATCTATCTATATATCCATGTGCCAGAATCAGATTGTTTTCATTACTGTGACTTTAGATAATACTTTGACTATTGCTAAGGCAAGCCTTTTCCCTTTCCTCCAGTTAATTTTTCTTTCTCAAAAATATCTTGGTTCTTTTCATACATCTACTGTTCATTTAGAATGTAAGCATCATCTGGTCACATTCTTGTTAAGTTTAATCTTAAGTATTTCATATATTTTATAAAATATACATTTTATATATGCCTGTTGCACAGAGATATTTTTCCTGTTGAAGATACAGGACAGGGGCTGGCAAACGTTTTCTTTAAAGGGCCAGGTGGTAAAAATTGTAGGCTTTATAAGACATGTGATGTCTGCTGATACTATTCATTCAGCCATTGCCATAATACAAAAGCAGCCATAGACAATATGTAAACAAATGGGCATAAAGCTTTATTTACAAAAAAAGGCAAGAAGTCAGATACGGCCTGTGGGCCACAGTTTGCTAGTTGTAGATGAAGAGACAGACTAATAGATGTAGAGAAAGATTAATTTTTACATAGTCATCTTGTATCTTAACTTCATAAGTTTGCTAATACTATTTTTGAGTTGAGTCTCTTATCTCTATGTGAACAACATACAAACAAAAGATCATTTTGTTCTAGTTTTCCAATATTTACAGCAATTATTCCACTTTTGTAGTCTTACTGCATCGGCTAGATAACTCTGGAGCAATACTCAGCTACTGTGCTAACAGGAGGTATTGTTTTGTTAATAGGGGGGCTCTATTTTTTCACCTACAAATTTGATGTTGCTGTTGGTTTCTAAAAATTGTTCTTTATCACGTTCAAATATCAAATACGATGCTTGTATTCAATCTTTTAAGATCCCTTCTGATTCAAATTGTTTAATTATGAAGTAATTACCAGTTTTTGATTGTGGCTGTAGACAAATGAGTGTTCCAGTGAGCAATTCATCACCCCCATTGAATACCGATGACTTGTTTTTACTTAATAGAGACCTTCTGAATCTTTTTGTTCAATTACATGAACCTCAAGACAACATAGAATAAAATGAATTCTTTCCAGGAATTAGAAAAAAATTAAGTAGGAAATAAAAGTTTTTTGCTTTAGACTTTTTAAAGGTGTTTTCCTTTGAGGTTTTTCAATAAAAATAAATCACTAAAATAACTTTTGAGAGCTAAAGGTAAACTTAGCTGAAAATTCAATAACGTTCTAAGGAGATTGGGGGTAAAAGGTCCAAAGGAAGATAAATTACTAACTCTAATATGGAAGAAAAAAATCTATGATGTTTATTTCTGAAAAGCTTTGGTCTAACATGTAAGCCTCAAGAACACACAACTTTAAAAATACGTATTTAAAGTTGAAAGTTAATAAATGTATATATGCTTATATTTAAATATTTTAAAACTTCCTTTAAATTAGCATTCATATACTCACAAAGGTGTCAATGAGAGTTTCATATTCATATTGCAGGCAGAAATTGATTCATTACTGATATAAAATTATTTCAATAAGGCAAAAGTTTTCACTTTGGCATTCACCTTCCAAGAATGAAGGGAAAACAAATGCAATTAGTATTTCCATATTCACTCCTTTAATTTCCTTGGAAAACTAAAAAGTAGTCCAGCTGTAAAAATACGAGGCATACATTAAAGGAGAGACATGTTTAACATTAAGCATTGTGGAATTTTTCTTTACAAGACTATTTCAAGGCCCAGATAAAAATACTTCAGGCAATACATAGTAAATATTTTATTTTAATAATAGCATAGAATTCTTCTGAAGAAAATTGTTATACATTATAGTTATTATTTTACAGTAACAGAGAGAAAATAAAATTAGAGATACAAATATTAAGGGTCAATTATCAAAATGAAATTAACACAGACTATTATTCATATGAACAATGTAAACAGAATCATCTATTTGATTTAACATCAAATATATTTTTGGCATATAATTATATTTAAAATGAGAATTATCAATTATTCAATCAATTCAAATATACTCATTCAGCCAAAATAAGAAAGTACGCCTCTTAGAAATTCAAGATTTATAGATTGACATTAAACATTTTCTCAATAAATAGAATATTCTGATCTCCACTGAGTTAAACTGTATAAACACTCATATCTGTTGTTTTATAGCTTATAATTAGGTATAACTGGTCACCAAAACTCCTTGCCCAAAATATCACTATTAATTGTACGAGGCAAAGTCCTATAATAAAATTAATGTAATAATGGCCCCATCTTTTCAAAAACAGAATATACAAGTTTCCATTTTCATGACTATGAATCTGGTTTTCCAAACTCTGGTTCCCAAATCCAGTTTCTAAATGTTTCAACAGAGGTGAGAAAGTAATGGAAATAAATGATTTAATGGAACTCTGGAAAAAGAACTATCATAGATCTTAGTTTGAAAAATACATCAAACATAAGAGATACCATGAATGACTCAGAATTATATAATAATGCCTATATCAAACTTTATGAGTTAGCTAAAGGGCAAAGAGTAAGAGGCAAGTTAAATGTAATACTTGCTTTTAACAAAGCAGACTAAGTAATATGTTAAGGTTTAGGGTGGGATAGGAAAGAACTCAGGCCTGGCAAAAATCTCCTCTTGGACTTTCTATATAAACATCTATTTTAGTTTTGGACTGTTCACCAAGAGGAGCTCTCCCCATCCGTGAAATCCTTCCCAGACCAACAGGTCCTTGTCTAGCTGCTGTAGGAAGGCAGCAGTGTGAAAATGTAGGAAATAGAAGCCAATTTGTGTCCAAAGTTAGTCCACCCTAACTGAACTCTTTTTAAACTAGGTTATTCAAATGCTAGTTAGGTACAGGCTCTAGCTAAAGAACATGAATAGATATCTGTCTTAAAAATGCCTGGAAGAGGTCATGATGTGATCCTGTAGTTTATTGGCCTTATGTTCTCCCAGAATAAGAGCTTATAAAGTCCTGGAAATCCTCAACTCTCTCCAGCCACCCTTCCAAATAAAATCTTAATGAATATAGTTTAAATCCTTTATTGGGCTCTGTAATCCCTTCAACCAAATAGCCAAGCTGCAACTGTTTTATGTAACATCTGTTTCACTGGAAAATGTGGGAAGGTATTTTGATATTGTCTAGCAAGATCAATGAGTAAACACTGTTCACCCCAAGCCAAATGATGCTGCCGTTCAGGGAGCTTTTAGAAAGAAAATAAATCGATAAACCAAGAAAGCAGACTGTATGCATAGCAAAGCCCTTCAGCACAGTGCGAACGTGTTCTTTAGGAGGAGGCTCAAAGCCACTTGGTAATTTCAAGTGAGAGGCAACAGAAGTCTTTCTTAATCCAAAGTCAGAAGTTTCCGAAGAACTTTAAGCACAATATCGTAACAAAAGTGATACTGCTCCTATATACATATATATAAAAAACAACAGAATGTTAAGTAATTGAATATCTGAACCCACTTTCAGAAAACACATTTGTAATTTTCAGTCACACTGGAAAGTTCCTAAAAAGAGCAAACATTGAACTATAAACACTTAAGAACTTTATGTGAATACATTTTTAAAACTATGAGGAAGATAAATGATCAAAATATAGTCCTTGGCCTAGAACTAGTTACCTTAAGGCTTAACATAACTGTTTTTTTTTTTTATTATCATTATCCATACTCTATTAATCTACTCTCCCAATGACTACTAACTAATCTGTGACATAAATAATGTCTTTTTGTGACATCTCAATAACTTTGACAGGTTAGTGGCAAGTAAATATCTCAAACTGCTATGCAGAAATGTTTTAAAAATAACTTTAGATGTTACTTACATAGTACGGCATTATGGACAAGGCATGTGTTTGGACATGAGGAGACCTCAACTTCAGGCTTGGCTCCTCCCCTTCTATCTGAGTGACCCCGTGAAGCAGGCTTTACTGCTCTGAATTTAAAGTACTTGGTCAGGAATACCAGAGCACCAGAGCAAAACTAATGTCTACCTCAAACAGTAGGAATTCAATGAGATTATGTCAGTAAAAGAACTTTATAAGTGGTAAAGTGTTAGACAATGTTAATCTTTATATTCATTAATCTTATTATTATGTATGTGGTGAAAGCTTACCTTTGTTTGAATCATACCAGAACGTTGTTCTCTCATTTGGGCCACTATATCCATGATGTTGAACTGTAATAAGATGACAGTAATTTTGTATGATCCACGTAGGGCGAAAAACACAAATTCACAGATTGCAACAAAGAGTAAAAGAGATGTCAAGATTTAACCAGAAAGATTTCGTTTTCACTCACAAGAAAATGTACTATTTTTGACTTACCCAATGGATAAGGAAGACTTATTTTAATAGGTTTTCAGGAGAAAGCAGGAAGCAATCATTCATAATAAGAAATGCTCTCCAAAATAAGTAATAAATTTGTCCTTGTGTGTCCCCGTTTGTTATCCAGAGGCAGAACTTAAAGCAGCACTGTAATTCTGGAAAGGAACAGAAGACTTTCTCTGGCCCCAACAATAGCATATCTGTTTCTTATATGAAGATCTCTGTCAACTCACACGGAGACCTGGAGCAACAGTCGACCCAACACTAGATTCTAGACTGCGTGTGGACACCAGTACAGCTGGATGTGGTCATTGAGTTGGTGCAGGCCTACAAAGGTCTGTTGCTGGTCCACAATAAGTCGAGAAACTGGGAGTAAGTGCCCAGAAACTCTTATGGCAATTTGACACTGGCACGGCACTGAGAAGTGTGCTCAGCTGAACAGGATATAGACCCGCTCAGGTGTTGCTGAACTTGCCTGGAGAGTCACATATGGTACAAGCTGAGTATTAGTCGTTTCAGCAAGACATTGTGGACACATGTAAGTTTTGTCAACTGTAACCCCAAAGCATATAAAAATAGAAAACAATAAGCATTCCTTTATTTTCATAGCTTGTCATCTTTATAATTAAAAATTTTAATTAACCCTTTTTTAAAAACTTTTTGTTTTTTAGAGACAGGGTCTTGCTCTGTAGTCTCGGCTGATGGAGTGCAGCGGTGTCGTCATATCTCATTGCAATCTCAAACTACAATCCTCCCTCCTCAACCTCCTGAGTAGCAAGAACTATAGGTGCGTGCCACCATGCCCAGCTAACTTTTTTATTTTTATTTTTGTAGAGATTGGGGTCTCACTATGTTGCCCAGGCTGGTTTCAGACTCCTGGCCTAAAGTGATCCTCAGCCTTGGCCTCCTAAGGTGCTGGGATTATAGGCGTGAGCCACCATGTCTGCCTTTTATTTTATAATATAGACATACAGGAAGTTGTACAGGGTGGCCCTGTGTATCTTTCACGCAGTTTCCCAGATGCTATCATCTTGTTTAACCAGATATAATATTAAAACCAGGAAAGAAACTGACATTGGGACAATCCACAAAGCTTAATTCAGATTTCACCAGTTTTACATGCAACTGTTAGTGAGCATGTGAACGTCAGTATGTGTGCATGTGTGCACACACAGCTCCATGCAATTGTATATGTGAAGATTCATGAAACTCTAACCAAAGTCCAGATACAGAGCTGTTCCACCACAAGTCTCCCTCCTGCTATCCCTATAGAGTCACACTCAACCACCTCAGTCTCTAACCCTTGGCAAACAGTAATCTGTTTTCCTTCTCTATGCTTTTGCTATTTCAAGAAGAAATAGCAAAATTCATTATATGAATAAAATCACACAATATCTAACCTTTTGTGATTTGCCTTTTTCCCACCCAGAATAACTTGGAGATCCATCCAAGTTGTTGGTGTAACAATAGTTTGCTTCTTTTTATTGCTAAATAATATTCCATGATGTGGATGTGTGCCACTTTAACCATCAATTGGTTGAAGAACATCTGGGTTGTTCCAGTTTTTGGCTATTGTGAATATAATCTGCTATGAACACTTACATACAGCTTTCTGTGTGAACATAAATTTTGATTTCTCTGGGATAAATGCCCCAAGAGTGCTATTGCTGGGTTATATGTCAACTTTAGTTTAGTCAGTTTCTTTCCCCAAGAAACTGCTCAATTGTTTTCCACAGTGGCTGGTACCAGTCTACATTCCCAATGTCTCATACATATGGGTAATACATGAGCAATACAGTTTCTCCAAATCTTCAAATTCTCCAAATCCTCACCAGCATTTCTCCAAATCTTCATCAGCATGGGATGCTGTCACTATTTTTACATAAGCTTTTCTAATAGGTGTGTAATGCTACTCCATCCTGGTTTTAATTAGCATTTCCCCAAGGGCTAATGAAGCTGAGCGTCTTTTCACATGCTTGTCATTTGTATATTCTCTTTGGTAAATTGTCTGTTCATGTCTTTTACCCATTTCTGTTTTTCTTTTTTTTTTAACTATTGATTTTTGAGGGTTCCTTATAAATTCTAGATCCAAGGCCTTTGTTGGATATGTGCCCTGCATATAGTTATTCTCTAGCTTTTTTTTTAAACCTCTTCATTGGGTGTTTCACAGAAAATAAAATTTTAGTTTGCTTTCCCTCTAAGATCAGTGATGGCAACAATGCCTGCTCTCACCACTCTTATTCAATGTAGCACTTGACATTTTAGTACAGCAATAAGACCAGAAAATAAGTAGGATGTATACAGATCAAAAAGGAAGAGACAAATCTATATGCACATAGCATGACTGTTTATGTAGAACATACCAAAGAATCTTAAAAAAAACCTACAAAACCTCTAAGAATAAGTAAGTTCAACAAGATCACAGCGAACAAGATCAACAAATGAAAATCAATTGAATTTCTACATACTAACAATGAATATGTGGAAACTGAAAGTTCAAACACAATACCATTTACAATTGCTCCAAAGAGAATGAATAGGGTAAATTTAACAAAACATATACAAGATCTACACACTGAAAATGACAAAATGCTGATGAAAGAATTCAAAGAAAACCTAAATAAATAGAGATACTTATGTTCATGGACTTGAAGATTCAATATAGTAAAGATGTCAGCTCTCTCCAACTAATCTACAGATTTAAAGCAATTTCCATCCAAATCCCAGCAAGTTTTTTTTGTAGATGTAGTCAAACTAATTCTAAAATTTATTAGGGAAGGCAAAGACCCCCTAGGATAGCTCAAAGAATTTTGAAAAAGAAGAATAAAGTGGCAGAAATCATTCTATCTGATGTTAAAGCTCACTATATCACTACAATAATCCAAAGGGTGGTACTGGCAGAAGGATAGACACACTGATCAATAGAACAGAATACAGAACTAGAAATAGGACCATACAAATATGCCCAATGATTTTTGACAAAGGTACAACAATAATTAAATGGAGGAATAATAGAATTTTCAATAAATGATATTGAAACAACTAGCCATCAATAGACCAAAAAATGAATCTTCACCTAAATTTCGTAATTTATTAACTCAAAATGGACTAAGGACTTAAATGTCAAATATGAACTTACAGAATTTTCATAAAAGAACACAAAAAATTATTCAGGCCCTCAGCTAAGTGATGGGCTGTTAGACTTGATATCAAAACAGGATCCATAAAAGGAAATACTAATAAAATACAATCTCATCAGAATTAAAAACTATTACTTCTTTAAAAGCTTATTTTTAAAAAAATTATAATTTAAGATTAGGGAAATTATGGAAACACATTAGAATTACTAATTTGTAATCAACTTACTGACTACAAAACAAGCATCACTGGACTGTTTAGTTAGAAAAGACACAGCTTTCCGAATGTGGCTGTAGTGGTTAACCAAATAATGAAGACGGAAGTGACTGCAATGAAATGAAGACCAAGAGTTATATAATTTTCACCTGGAGTTATGATTCCTCATATATTGAATTTTGTAGTCATTATTGATTGTGAAGCTCTAAAACTACACTTGTGTTATTTGCAAAGATGTATTGGTTAACAAAGCAAAGGAACCATTAAGACTTAATTGTAATTTACATAAAAATTAATTAATTCAAAGATAAAATAATTGTCTTAAAGAGAATTAGATTAAAAAGACAAGAGAGGACTTCCGGTTCCAAAATAATAGTGTAGAAGCAAGCTGGCTTCACTTCTTTACAAAGAAAACCAAAACCAAATATACAGCACTTAAATTATCAACAACAATATCCCAGAAATCAAGTATGAGGAGAAGACAGTTCCTGGATCCACAGAGATGGGGGAAAAAGTCTAAGTAGGCAGTAAGAGAATTGGGTTTCCACATCTGCAATGCCCATTCCTCCAACTTGCCCAGCACCAAGTGTGCAAAAAATCTCCACCTGATTCATGATTTCTATACTAGAAAAGGTGACAGCCAGGTTTCCCACCATCTGGGTTACCTGGCAGGAAACCTGTCCTTACCTCAACTCACAGGAAGCACTACACGTGCCTGAAGAAAGAAATATCCTGAGAACAGTCAGAGACAAACAGGTGAGGTGGGACTACCACCCCCTGCCCTTGAAACTCTGGTCTGTAACTCAGCTTGGAGATGCCAAACCAGAGTGGTTGTTTAGTAGCACCACATTGCAGAAGGTATGTTGCACAGGACCCCTGGGCATGGATCTCAAGCCACCTTTCCCACACTGCCATGATATCCCCTTTGAGACTTTGCCTAATTGGGATGAGCAGTTCTCTTACTGTTTACTGGAGCCAAGGTAAACTTGGTCGTAAGGTGACATCTAGTGCCAAAAAAAGGCAGCAACTTAGCACCCCACACCCCCCCCCCACACACACACAAAAAAAATTCCACAGGTAAATTACAAAGAATCTATAAGCAAATATATTCAATAAAAAACAAAAATAAGCCAGACAGAGAACACCAGGATAAATAACTAATCCTTCATTCAAAGACATCAATACAAGATATATACTTCTTGCACATCCACAAGAAACTGCAGCCAACAGAAAATCATGACCTCCCCAAATGGATAAAGCAGGAACAAGTGACTGACCCTAATGAGATGGCCATATGAGAGCTCCTTGATCAAGAATTCAAACTAGTATTAATAGCTTTGAGGAAATTCAGAAATCTCCAAGGTAACAGAAAACCAATTCAAAACTTTATTAGACAAATTTAACAAAGAGATTGAAATAATTTAAAAATCAAATAGAAATCTTGGAGCTCAGAAATATATTAGCTGAACTGAAAAATTCATTACAGCCTCACAATAAT